TTTTTTTTTTTTTTAAGGCTAACTCATAGAAACAGTAGAATGATGATTGTCAGGGGTTGTGGAGTAAGGGAAATGGGGAAAAGCCGGTAAAAGGATACAAACTTTCAGTTACAAATAAAGTCTAAGGATCTAATAGTGACTACCTGGTAACACCATATTGTATATAACAAATTTGCTGAGAGAATAGAGCTGAAGTATTTTCACCAAATAAATAAAACAAAAAAGGGTAAATATGTGAAATGATAGATGTGTAGATCAGCAACATGCAGAAGGATGAAACTAGACCACTTTCTTACACCATTCACAAAAATAAACTCAAAATGGATAAAGGACCTGAATGTGAGACAGGAAACCATCAAAACCCTAGAGGAGAAAGCAGGACAAAACTTCTCTGACCTGAGCTGCAGCAATTTCTTACTTGACACATCCACAAAGGCAAGGGAATTAAAAGCAAAAATGAACTATTGGACCTCATAAAGATAAAAAGCTTCTGCACTGCCAAGGAAACAATCAACAAAACTAAAAGGCAACTAACAGAATGGGAAAAGATATTTGCAAATGACATATTGGACAAAGGGCTAGTATCCAAAATCTATAAAGAAAGAGCTCACCAAACTCCATACCCGAAAAACAAATAATCCAGTGAAGAAATGGGCAGAAAACATAAATAAACACTTCTCTAAAGAAGACATCCAGATGGCCAACAGGCACATGAAAAGATGCTCAACATCACTCCTCATCAGGGAAATATAAATCAAAACCACACTGAGATACCACCGCATGCCAGTCAGAGTGGCGAAAATGAACAAATCAGACTATAGATGCTGGCGAGGATGTGGAGAAACGGGAACCCTCTTGCACTGTTGGTGGGAATGCAAACTGGTGCAGCTGCTCTGGAAAACCAGTGTGGAGGTTCCTCAAAAAATTAAAAATAGATCTACCCTGTGACCCAGCAATAGCACTGCTAGGAATTTACCCAAGGGATATAGCAGTGCTGATACATAGGGGCACATGTACCCCAATGTCTATAGCAGCACTTTCAACAATAGTCAAATTATGGAAAGAGCCTAAATGTCCATCAACTGATGAATGGATAAAGAAATTGTGGTTTATATACACAATGGAGTACTACGTGGCAATGAGAAAGAATGAAATATGGCCCTTTGTAGCAACGTGGATGGAACTGGAGAGTGTTATGCTAAGTGAAATAAGTCATACAGAGAAAGACAGATACCATATGTTTTCACTCTCATGTGGATCCTGAGAAACTTAACAGAAGACCATGGGGGAGGGGAAGGAAAAAAAAAAAAAAAAAGAGGTTAGAGAGGGAGGGAGCCAAAACATAAGAGACTATTAAAAACGGTGAACAAAGTGAGCGTTAATGGGGACTGGGAGGGAGGGGAGGGTGGGTGATGGGTACTGAGGAGGGCACCTGTTGAAATGAGCCCTGGGTGTTGTATGGAAACCAACTTGACAATAAATTTCATATTTAAAGAAAAAAATCATTGCTTGATTTGGGATCCCTATCACTATGGGATCAGATAATAGGCCAGCGTTCATGGCTGATGTGGTGCGGCTGGTGGCAAAGGGGTTAAAGATCACTTCAAAGTTACACACGGCATACCAACCCCAGAGCTCCAGGAAGGTAGAATGAATGAACCAAACCCTGAAGCTACAATTAGGTAAACTATGCCAGGAAACCCACCTACACTGGGACCAGGTGTTGCCAAATGCCTTGTTAAGTAAGAATCAGGTATAGCACCACTAAGCAGATGGGGTTCTCCCCTTATGAAATCTTTATGGGTGCCCTTTCCCAATTATCAAGGGCATAAGGGGGGGACCTAAATGAGATAGGCAATCTAACCCTAAGGCAAGAGATACAGACCCTTGGCTCTACCCTAACCATCTTACACCACTGGGTTAGGGAGTGATTACCTGTGAGTCTGACCACAGAGGCTCACCCCTTTGAACCAGGAGATGCTGTATGGGTGAAGAAGTAGAATGTCCAACCCCTAAAATCCCTCTGAAGGGGCCCGTTCACTGTCATTCCGTCCACCCCTACTGAAGTAAAGATAACCGAGGTGGGTCTCTGGATTCACCACAGCAAAATGAAGCCAGCATCTTGAAACTGGGAGCTGATTCATCAATGCCGTGCAAGCTGACCATATGGAAGAAGCAATGTGCAACTCCAGAGGCTCTGGGAGACTGCAGCCCTGCAGTGACTGGGGACAGTCACTCCGGACGCTGACTAATCTACACACAGCAGAAGCTTGAGAAATCAATGGTCTGGTGGAACAGATAGACTGTCCCTATTTTCTATATCTGTTCCCTTACTGTGAAGAGCTGTCACCCGTTGTGTCTTGCCATCACTGTGATTCTTGCTCTACTTTTTTGCCACAGGATTGGCAGAGGCCGCCCTGGCCAGATGGCAGTATGGTGAGAGATTTCTGCTAGCACTCACCTTCCTTTTGTGGATAGGATGCTTCATTGGTATCGGCTGCTTCTAATCTGGACCCTTTCTGTAGACCTAGATTCCTCATCATGTGACCCATGTATTCACATAACCAAGTCAGGCCAGGGAGTCACTTGGACCTTACTATACCATACTCACTTCTTATGCCAAGGAAAAGTCCTGGGGACCTGCAGACATAGTAAGACCACATATTCTATCTGCCAATGGGAGAGTCAATATACTTGCTTTGACCCACAATACTCCCCCAGTGAAGATTGTTTAGAAGTCCGATCCTACCAAGAGTAGGGGGCCTTGGTCAGCTAGACACAAATTATTAACCCAAAACGACAGGTGTCAATGCTGTTTGACATATGTGTGGTTATAGGTATTGGCCCAGAGGCATGTCATATGAAAAAAGTGGGCACTTGTCATAGAGGGCCCAAGGACTCTTGATATACCATGCAGAGGCTTAGATTAGGAGCAGGAATACTGACTCAATGACAAATACGTGTGTGAGGAAAATGGTTTTGGTGCCTATACACCTGTGTTTTTATGCCCTAGCAGGAGCTGTGTTTCATGGAGTACTTGGGAAAAAAGAAGGCACGACAGCATTCTTTCAGAAGGGAGTGACTACACCAAATTGTCAGTTGGGGACCTGTAATCCGGTTAATTTTACTACTCTTAACCTGGGAGACCCCTGATGGAACAGTAGCTGGCAGATGGGGATATATATCCATGGACAGGGCACAGACACAGGAACAGTGTCGTATTTTAAGAGAGTTATTGTCACACATAAGGCCACAACTCACCAGGTCTTTCATTCCTTTTATGAAGAAATGGAGAAGGGTCCTCCTCCTGTCTGTCACGATGAAAAATCTATTTCTAGCCCTAGCAGAGACTATAGCCCAAACTCTAAAGATCTCTTCTTGTTATGTATGCGAGGGAACCAACATGAGGGATCAATGGCCATAGGAGGCTAGAGAATTAGATCCCTGAGAACCTTATAATGGAACAGAATGCCCCAACCCTACTACTGGGGTTTGGCTCCTCAAAACCTCAATTACTGGGAAAAAAACAACAACAACAACAAAAACTGCCTTGCCCACGGGGAAAGGAAGTTCACCATCTGTTGGAAGCTTAACATGCCTACCTAGGCCAAAGATTTTATAACTCAGGAAACCCAATGGTGGGGAACCCCAGATCACCTTGAGCCAGATCCCCACCCCTTGTCTAACTTCTCTCATCTCCAAGAGGCCTGGGACATTGTCGACACAGTCATCAAATGGTGGGCCCCAGGTGGACTATACTGGATATGTGGAAGGACAGACTACACAACACTTCCCTCAGGCTGGTCAGGATCATGTGTGCTGGGAACTATTTGTTCATCTTTCTTCCTGATCCCACTTGCCAGAGGGGAACATTGGGAATCCAAGTGTATGGGGACAGGGAGACTCAAAGGAAACAACATGCCCTACCAATTGGCAACTGGAAAGATAATGAATGGCCTCCCAAGTGTATAATCCAATATTATGGCCCTGTCACCTGGGCAGAAGATGGATCCTGGGGCTAATGCACTCCCATCTGCATGCTAAACCGCATAATCAGACTGCAAGCAGTTGTACAAATTATAACCAATGAAACTGCCAGAGTTCTTAACTTACTAGTCATGCAGCAAACTAAAATGAGCAATGTTATCTATTAAAATTGCTTGACGTTAGATTATTTGCTTGCTTCGGAGGGAGGAGTTTGTGGAAATTTTAACCTGAGCAACTGCTGCCTACAGATAGATGATGAAGGCAAAGTCATAGAGGCGATAAATCAAATGAGAAAGGTTGCTCATGTCCCAGTCCAGACCTGGAAAGGTTGGGACCCCAGGGAGTTATTTGGAGGATGGTTTTCAGCTCTTAGGGGATTCAAAATCCTCATAGGTATTATTCTCTTAATTTGGTGACCTTGCTTAATCCTACCTTCCCTAGCTCCCCTGGTTATGCAGTCTGTCTCCAGCCTCACTGACGTAATGGTCAAAAAGAAAACAGCCATGCATGTGATGATGTTATGGAAGTATAAACCCCTAACCAAGATGATGCTCTTTGACCCAAAGTAAGGGGTCCGAGCATCAATAGGGGTAATGTGGTAGAGTCCCTCCATAAGGAATATCGTGAAAACCTAAAGTCAAGGGAAGGCGACCTGGCTACGTGCAGGTGTGCAACATTCCTCACAACTCTGCAACAAAGACCATCCATTCAGACTTTGAATGTTACTATATATGGGAGACAAAGGAGCAAAACTTGTACAAAAGGAAAACCCCCACTGCGCTAGGGGCTCAGTGTTTTGGGTACAAACCCAGTGAGCCCATGCCAGCACAATGAGTGAAGTTGCTTCCTGGACAGAAAAGGTTCAGTGTCCTGTCTCTCTGTGCAAGAATCCTGCTACAAATTCATCATCAAAAACTTTCCTATAAAGAAAACCCCAGAAGTGCACCTGGGTGGCTCAGTCAGTTAAGAGTACGACTTTGGCTCAGGTAATGATCTCGCAGTTTGTGAGTTAGAGCCCCAAGCTGGGCTCTGTGCTGACAGCTCAGAACCTGAAGCCTGTTTCAAATTCTGTGTCACCCTCTCTCTCTCTGCCCCTCCCCTACTCATTCTCTTTCCTCTCAAAAATAAACATTAAAAAAAGAAGAAGAAAAAAAAAAAAAAAAAAAAACCCAAACAAAGTGGTTTCACTGATAAAAACTATCAAAGATTTAAGGAAAAATAATACCAACCCTGAAGCCTGTTTCAAATTCTGTGTCTCCTTCTCTCTCTGCCCCTCCTCTACTCACTCTCTTTCTCTGAAAAATAAACATTAAAAAAAGAAGAAAGAAAGGAAAAAAAAAACTCCTGACCTAGTGGTTTCACTGATAAAAGCTATCAAACATTTAAGGAAGAAATAATACCAAGCCTACATGAATTATTTCAGAAAACAGAAGCTGTGGGAAGACATCATGACCATGTGGGGTTTATAAACTCTGCTGTGCAAAGGCAGTTTCCCTTTCAAAACTCAATCACTGTAAATCACATTAAAGTAAAAAGAAAAACCATGTATTTATCTAAAAAGATGTAGAAATCATTGACAAAATTCAATACCTATTCATGATTTAAAAACCTCAACAAACTAGAAATAGAAAGGACCTCTTAATAAAGGAAAACAGGGTGGGAGGGATCACCTAACATTACACTTAATGATGAAATATACAGTGCTTTTCCTCTCAGACCAGTAAATAAAGGAAAAATGTCTCACTCATTTTGTCTATATAACAATGTTCTAGAGGTCCTAGCCAGTGCTATAAGACAATAAGGCTAAAGAAATAAGCGGCATAATGATTGCAAAGGAAGTATTTCCATTTGCAGATGTCATGATTGTTTATATAGAAAATCCTAAGGAATCTACTAAGCAACTAATAGTACTAATAACTGAATTTAGCAAGATATCATTATTCATGGTTAATATACAAAAAGTATCTACTTTAAATTCTAGTGGGAAACAATTACAGTCAAATTTTTAAAAGTTCTGTTTAAGAATATCATTATAAAAACCAAAATACTTAAAACATACATTTAATAAAAACAACATACAAGACTTCTTGAAAACTTTAAAATATAACAGAGAAGGCAAAAAAAAAGAACTAAATAAGTGAAGAACTATACAGTCTATGGGCCAGATAATTCAATGTTATTGAAATATCAATTCTCCCCAAATGGAAGAGTAAGTTATACAAGCTTATGTAAAGAAACTAGCAAGCTGATGCTAAAATTCCTACAGATCTTCAAAGAACCTACAATAGCCAAAACAGTTTTAGGAGGGGAAAAGTTTTTTAACTTTTTTTTAACTCTTACAGAACACGACTTAAAGACTTATTATGAATCTACAGTAATCAAGACAGTGAGTTGCTGGCATAAGGATAACCTAATGAATGAGAAGAACAGAGTTCAGAAATGGACCCATGCTTATATAACCAGTTGATTTTTGACAACACAACAAAACAGTTCAAGGGAAATAAAAACATTTTCATCAAATGGTATTGAAATAATTCAGTTTCCACATGGGGGGGAAAAAGAATATAAATGTAGCCTCACACCACTTACAAAAATTAATTCAAGATGGATCACATCTAAACATAAAATTATAAACAATAAAGAAGATAAAATAAGAGGGCATCTCTACACATAGAGTTCTTCTCCAACATGGCAAACAATAACCATACATTGAAAAACCTGATATTTTTAGACTTCATCAAAATTGAAACTTTCTCATCAAAAGAAAATAAATAGGCAACCATACACTGGCAGAAAATATTCTCAATAAATTTATCTGACAAAGGACTTTATATCAAAAACATAATTTTTCAACTTAAGTAACCCGATTTTTAAAAAATGAGCAAAAACTCTGAAAATCCTCTTCATAAAAATGAACTCAGAGTTTTTAATAAACATATATATGACATATATGATGGACAGATACACAGATAGGCAGATGTATGTATCCGATAGATTGTGAGTGTGTGTTTCCTAGCTCTGTACACAATGAGAGAGGCTACATGTAATATTACATAAGTGGCAATGAGCATACCTAACTTCTAAGTACCATCATCCAATAAAGGGAACCAGAATCCTTGGGAGAAACTGCTGATTCCAGGGCCAAAGCAGGACAACTACAAGATAAACCTAAATCATTTTGTTACATCAGTAGGGAAGTACTCACCGAAGGGGCTCCCATTACCCAAATCTGAGACATTTGGACATCAAAAAAATTAATGATAGCA